CCCCAAAACCCCAAAACCCCAAAACCCCTAGAAGCAATACTGGAATTTAATGTTGGAGAGCAAATTATTAATTGTGATAAATTTGATTTGAATTGGTTTAGTGATTATAGAGTTTTATTCAATTATCACAAAAGTAGCATTAGATTGATTCTTTAAATCAATCTGCGGAATATTATAAATACTTAACTAACTAAAGGTCCATAAAAATGTCTTTCGATCTGAAAATAGGGAACTATAACTTCCTAAAGACCCTCGGAATCGGCACCTTTGGGAAGGTCAAATGTAAGGAATACTAAGTGGCAAAGTTTAAATCTAATTTATAGTAGCTAAGCACTGCCTTACAGGGCATGAAGTGGCGATTAAGATTATGAACAAGAAGAAGATCAAGTAGCAGAATGTGTTTGAGAAAGTGAAAAGAGAGATCAAGGTCCTCAGGTACTTCAATCATCCTCACATCATTAAACATTTTGAGTTTATTGATACTCCATCTGATATATTCATGGTGATTGAGTACGCTGCAGGAGGAGAACTCTTTGATTATATTTCAAGAAGAGAAAAAGTAAGTCAAAAACCATATCCAAGAATCGATATCAGTATGATAATATAATATTGACATCAGTATCCCATTAAGATGCCTAGCAGGATCCTAAATAATATTGTGTAGTTATCGGAAGCTGAAGCCAGGAACTTCTTTTGGCAAATGTATTCTGCTATGTTCTATGTGCATGTAAGCAAAATCGCTCACAGAGACCTTAAGCCTGAGAATTTGTTACTTGACTCCACACAACGAAACTTAAAATTAATAGATTTTGGACTTTCAAATTCAATGAAGGATTCGTAATCTCTCAAAACAGCCTGCGGCTCCCCTAACTATGCTTCTCCAGAAATAGTTAGCGGGCGTACTTACGGAGGGGTTGAGTCTGATATCTGGTCAATGGGAGTAATCTTGTATGCAATGGTATGCGGGAGCCTCCCTTTTGACGATGAATCAGTGACTCAATTGTTTATTAAAATCAAAGAAGGCAGATACTCAATGCCAAATTTCATTAGCGATGATCTCAAAGACCTGATAAATAAAATGATGCAGCCCAACCCCATAAAGCGCTGCACTATGCGAGAGATACGAGACCATTTATGGTTCTAACAAGAGTCGGTCCCCTCCTATTTACGAATGTGGGAGTAAGATTTGGATTAAAAATAGCACTAGGTTGATTCAGCTATAGTGGATTAGTTATTCAAGGTAAAATTTTAAAACCCTAATTTATTAAATTTGGATATATAGATCCCAGGACTTGAACTTGATGTTCTCAAGCCAGATGATGTAACCTAGCAAGTGAAAGATAAAAAGAATAACTCAATCACAGGTATATATGAACTACTTAACCATGACAAAATCAAGCAGCAATGCGTTGAGCTGAAGGAGATTCAAAAGCCAGCATTTTTCAAAAGTAAAGCTAAGTTAGAGAATCCATCTGAAAACTCTCAGCGACTAGGATAAAAACAGCAAGAGAGACTAGATTAAATCTTTAAGAGATTCAAATCTGGTCAGACTTCTGTCAGACGTCTTCAAATTCAAAATGAATCCTTAATTGATAGTAGTGGATAAAAGATCAAACGACTAACATAAAGAATGGATTCAAATCTGTCAGCACAAACTCATTTCACAGATAGAGTATCAGACTTATCTCAGAATCTAAGAGATCTACAGAGAAGTTTAAAAGCCATTTAACTGGAATCTTAATAATTCTTTGGGGCACCTAAATGGTCATTTGGAATAAAAATCTCAGGCGATTTACAATCTATCGTAATGCTCGTCTGTGAGAAGCTCAAGGAAATAGATGTGGTAAGTTATTTTGTTACACCTTGACATATCTTTAAAGGAATGGGAATTCATCAAGAGAGAGAAAAAGTTCAAATGCAAGACTATCCTTAACGATGACTTGTTTCACGACATTCCCGACTACTTCAAGGAGGACCTACAGAGCCAGAAAACCTATTTGAAATTTTACCTGAGCATTTATAAAAATCCACTAAATGACAGCAGTCAAGGTGACTATTTCCTCCTAGACCTGAACTACTTCAAGGGTTTACCCAGTGTATTCTTGGACATAAGTTAGACTTTTATAACCCTCATTAAGGGAGAATGCGAGTAAACTACCGAAGACCTCTATCATTACGACAAAGCTTATGTTGAACCTTCACCCTAGTACGAAGGTAAAGGATTCAGAGTAAGCGAAAGATACACTCTTGGAAAGTTCAGAAAGTGCACCTATGACGCCGTGAACTACATGAACCTAATGACTAATGAATGATTGCCATTGAACTATAACTAGTAGTATAATAGAGTAATTGAGTAGCAGCAAGAAGTGTTTCAGGTTACTCCTTAGTATCAGCCTTAGAGCGATGATAGATAGCACGATTAAAAATTTCAATAATAACAAACCACTAGTTTTTAAATTCAAAACATTATACAAATTTCAAACAGCATGTAACAATGATATAAAAGCTAAAGAATTATGAAGTATTAAGATGATGATATTCAAGTTTATATATTTATACCTACTTATTAAAATTTGACACTTGTTCATTAATAGATTTTACAATAACATTTCTTTATTTCTTTAACTTTCTTAATAATAAATTTAACTTTTAACCAATTGAGTAGCGAAAAGTGATTATTATATAATTATCTATAACATTATTAAACAAATCATCATTATCTGTAGGTGTTTTCAAATGTTCCATCTGGGTAGGTCTTTCTGACTTTACCATCTGGAAATTCCCGTATCCTTGTACCATCAGGAAATAGGATATCTTTTTAGCCATTTGCAAATTCAATGGCTTTGACACCATTCTTTTCTATTCTTTATATTGTTCCATCGGGGAATATACTCTCCTCCTCGCCATCAGCAAATATGCATTTTATTGTACCGTCTGGGAAACTATAAAAATTTATAAGATAATATTTTTGAGTAACTTACACTATCTCTTTAGTTCCATCTGGGAAGTGTTTCTCAACTTGATTATTAGCGAACTTGAACACTTATAGGCCATCAGGGTAAGTTGACTGAGTAGTCTTTGCTTCAGCGAAGTAGTACACTACTTTTTAGTCGGCATAAGTTTATTTGATATCATTATTGTTAAAGTACACTATAGTGTAACCATCTGGGAACACTTCTCTTTTTACTCCGTTGTTGAATATAACTTCCTTCTTGCCATTCTCGTATAGTCTTTGAATCTTTCCATCATTACCAATGATCTATTCAATGACTTTCATGTTTTAAGGGGTCTTATTGTGATACTCAGGTGGGAACTTCATGTCATAGTCTTCATCTTCCTCTTCGTTTGCTTCCTAGTTCTGTGCCTCCTCAGCCTTTTACTATGCTGCAGCTCTTGCTTTGGCTTCCTCCTCAGCAGCCTATTATTGTCTTTTTTGTTCAGCCAGTTACTACTACTGCCTTTATTGCTCGGCCACCTGTTGCTGCTATTGTTATAACTGAAGTTATTTTTATTATTGCATCAACAGCTGCTACTGCTATTAAATCTGCTGCTCCTTTTATTGCTTGAAGACATTTTATTGTTACTGCTGTTGCTATTGCTAAGCAAGAGTATTTAGATCATTTTTGGAGGTTTTTTTATTCATAATTTGCTGTCTCTGCTAATCATAGGCTGGGTCATCAACTTCATCTACATATTGCTGGTTGTCATCGCTCTCATCATGAATACTTGGCTGCCTGTCATCTACTTCCTCACTTTCCTAGTAGTCCTAATCCTAATCTGTATTCTGATAATTGCTATTGGTATTAGTGCTTGTAATGGCATTTCTTTAAGCTTCATGTTTATTCTTTAAAATTCCTTTTGGCTATTGTTATTATTATGTCTATTATTAATCATTGGAGTTGAATGTATATCTTGGGTTTTAAAGTGAGGATGGTTGCTTTAGTTACGATTGACTCTTATTCCCTTAAGAGGCAGCACCTGGATTAGCATTTAATCCTTGCAATCTCACCTGCTCATGATGCCTTAGCTCATCACTTAACTCCTTATTCCTCAGAGTTAGGTCATCTACCTGCTTCTTAAGTCTGTCAATGGTCATCTTTTACTTTTACTCCTTAGCCTTAGACTCCTCTACTACTTTTTAGAGTTCTTTCTTTAGAGCATCTATCTCCTCCCTTTCCTTCTTATTTGAACTTCCCACTAGTTGAAGGTTTTTGGATCTCTGCTCCAAAGCCTTCTTTTCCTTCTTAATTTTCTCTATCTCATCTATCTTTATTCGCTCTACTTCATCTAGTGCTTTTTTCTTCAAGGACTCGAATTCTCTCTTTTCTACTTAAGCTTTCTAGATTAGCTTCTCATACTCTAACCGTTTTTTATTGTGGAAATCTGATTCTTGATTGAACTTCTCCATTGCCTTATTCAGCTAGTCAACCTTAAGCTATACCATGCGTTCCATCTCTTCTGATACACCTGGAGCTGCTGTAGAGTTAACAGTATTTTATTATGGTTTTGAGTTTGCTTACTTAGAGTCTTCTTTCATAAAGAACTTTTTAACTACATTCGACTTTGGAGCTTCCTCCATATTTTATTACTGATTTCTATTGGTGGAGCTATCTCTTGGATTGCTAGAATGGAATTTCTTTTATTGATTAATATCAGTCTCATTTTCTCCACTCTCTCTGTCGTTAGCAGCATTAGCATTATCATGTTGCTCCTCTTGACCTTCATCCTCTCCCTAAGAGTCTGAATCATCAAATAATTTCTTCTTTCTCTTGTTCTATTACACAGCTTTCTTTTGCTTGTATTGTTCCACATCTTTAGGTGAATATTTATCATAGCACTCCTGCTCTAATTTTTCAAATTCCATTATTGAATTTCTAGCCAAATGAGCAGCTGAGGGCTAAGCTTAATTTGGGATCTTGTCTCTTGTTGTGTATGTGTTGTTTGGTCTTGGGCTCTTGTGATCTTATTCTGAAATTAGATTGGCATAGACGTTATCATCATTGTCACTTAAAGGATTTAAGTTCTTTTTATTTCCCTAGTTTTAAGATGGCTTGCCTGACTGCTTTTTAGGCTGTTTCTCTTGCTGTTGTTATTCTTAATATTGATTTTGCTAATTCTCCTACTATTGCTATCTATTCAAAGATTTTTCATAGCCTTTTCTACCACCTGCAGTACCTGACCCTCTAGCTAAGAACTTTTTCTTAGGCTTTCCATGATCGTTATTACTGCGATCATTGTGGTGAGCTGGCTAATTATTAGGCTCTTACTGCTTATCAGAATCGTGATTAAGCTACTGTTATTAATTTTTTAAGCCGATTGGTCTTTCCTCCCTCTCCTTATATGGATTTTGATCAGATTCAGTTCTTCTGCTCTAGTTCCTCGGGGGCTATTATTGCTGCTCACTATTATGATTATTATGCTTAATTGCGCGAGTAGGTGGTTGGTCCTCCTCTTTAGTATCTTTATCCTTCTTTTTATCTTCATCAAAGTTGTCTACATAGTAATTGTACTTCTTAGAATTAGTAGGAGGGGCAACAACTGGTTTTTTTGATTTCCTTCTCAAGAATTCGCGTTTTCTATTTGGCTTTTCATATTCTCTGTTTTATTCCTCCTCTAAAGGAGTTGGATCCATGCCCATAGATCTCAGATTTGACTCTAAAAGTTCTTCAAATGTCTTTGCTTTAGTGGAATGAATAGGCATATCATCAATATTCAAGGGCCTATTTGATTTAAGATAGTTTCCCCCACCTTATGAGCTATTTTCAAAATCGTTTTTATAGGATGAACTCTGTGGTGAATACTGATGATTGCTTTGATGAGTCCTATTTTAAAAGGTATTCATATGCTATTCTTGTAGAATTGAACCCTGTGAGTTATTGTGATTTTGATTCCTAAATGATCCTTGAAGGAACTCCTAGCTTCCAAGTCCATCATCAAAGTTACGTTTGCTTGATCTCTAAGGAGAATTCTGGCCACTGACCTTCAAATGATTATGATGATTTTGATTGTGATTGTTTAAATTTAGGTACTAGAATGACTCATTCACGTTAAAATTATCGTTATTGTTAGAGTTGTGATAAATTGAATTTTTGGGTGATTAATTCTCTCTTCCTTTGCCGAATCCTTAATTTCTAGAAGGACTTTTTTAGTGGTAAAACTAAGGCTTCTAATCATACTGCCTATACTGCTCCTCTTCCTCCTCATACTAATGCTTCTAAGCAGTATTCTGAATGTTTTGGATCTTTGGTTGTTACTATTGAGACTGAGAAATAGTTTTGGCATAGTTGTAGTCAGAGCTAAAGCTTCTGTTGTTCTGATTATTATTGTTGTTCTAGGAGTATTAGTTAGGGTTATACTGTCTTTCTCTAGATTATGATTTTTATTCGTAGTTAAAAGGCTGATTATAAGATTGCTTGACATTGTCAGTATCCTGGCCAAGATTATTCATGTAGGCACTCATACTTTAATTTGGATCATTTTAGTCCATATAGTTCTACTTCTGTAAATTTTATTGTAATGGCATTCTTTGGTTTTATTATCCCAGTCCATCACTTAGTTATTGACTGTTTAGATTCAAGGACTATAATGTAGGATTTGAGTAGTTCTAGCTAATGAAACTAGGATGAATAGATTAGGAGATTGAATTCTTCCCATACTGCTAGAGATTTTAGCCTACATTGGATTGAACATTGCCCTTTTCAATAGTGTCAATCAGGTTTTGATAATGATTCAGATTTTAATAAATGTTGTTTAAGTTGCTCATAAAATTCATATTTTAGTTGATGTTTGGGGTCACTTGCAATTACTATGGTTTCTCATTAAGATTTATACTGGCTGTTTGGTTGTTCATCGTGGGATTAGTTTGCAGCTACTAAGCACTGGCCAGAAGCTAAGCAGCGTTTAAGAATCCAGCTCCAAACATATTCGCCCCTGCTCCTGGGTTAGCGAATGTGTTTTACAATAACAGATTTTGATTTGATGGAGTTTACTATAGCTTGAGTAGCTCAAGCTATAGCAGTTGCTGTTGATTGAGACCGTAGTTTCCTCCTAAGTATTAATTCTGCTACACTCCAAACTAATCAAACTAAGCAGAAGTGGTGGTCTGAGGTTGTTGTTATTGTTGTTAGGGAAGTTTAGAATACTGATTGCTGCTGTCAATTGTTAACCCTGCCAAATTTAAGCCTTGATCCTTCAGACCTAGCTTGCCTTGAAGCGTGCTCTCAAACTACTTTTGCTAGCCACTGAGAGCAGCAGTGTTCAAACCGAGATTCCCTCCTAACTAGTGGTACTGCTACTTAAGATCGAAGCCTTGAATATTTGGAGGTAGACCTTGATTCCTGAAGGTATCAGCTTGGTTTGCGGGGGTGAATCTGCCAGTTAAAGTGTTTTGGCCGAACTAGTTATCTATAAAGGTATTATGAGTTGGTGTGGCTGCTTACCTAGATCTGAAAACGTTTGTTACTAGCTGGGGAAAGCAATGTTCTGATTCAGGTAATTCTTGAAGTTGTAACCCTGGGGATCGAAATTTTCTTCAACTCCTGGTCGTTGGTTAGACATTTAAATTAAATTATCAAACAATTAATTATCTTGAATTATTATCTGTCAAACTATCTATTTTGACGGGGTTTTGGGGTTTTGGGGTTTTGGGGTTTTGGGG